TTGTTAATGGCCAAGTTAACATTAGCTGGTAGTTGGAAAAAGCAACAAATCCATTAAAGGGAATGTATTACTAGGATGGATAATGTTATGTTATATGAACGCTCAACGAGTATACTGGTTGATAAGCAACCTAGATTCCTCCATGTCTGGGAACCATGGATACAACTCCAGCACCCTGACATGGCCGTGTCTAGTTTCTGCGGTATATAAAGGATATTATACTGGGATTACAGTAAAAGACTATTAACCTATATAGCAGTGGTTCTCAACCTGTGTAACCTCAGGACCCACATTTGTACTTGGTCATTAAGTCACGACCCAAGTTGCACTGCGCACACACACACACACACAGACATTCTCACGCACACATACATACTCCAAAATAAATTATAATTTTTTTGAAGATCCACCCAGCTCTCCTTACCTTATGAGAACTGGTGTGAATCCTCAGCCTGGGGTCCAGTGTGCTGTGATGGAGCTCCATCCATATATGCATTGTTTGTACAGCTCCCTTGTGCGCCCTGTAGAGGTGCCAGGAGCCAGAATGTGATGTCAGTCCAGTCAAGGCACCTCTACAGGGTACACGTGGGAGCTGTAAGCAATGCACATATGGATGGAGCTCCCTTAAAGGAGAACTATGAGGTGAGTGCTTTTCACTCACCTCATAGTTCTAGCCGACCTGTGACAATGAGACTGTCACAGGTCGGCTCAGTAGATAGGGAGGTGAGCGAACACATACCGGGTTCGCTCGCCTCTCGATCCTGTCACGGCTCTCTGCCATGACAGGGGGAGGGGCTGGATTCCCCTCTCCCCGCTCCGATCTGCCAGCGCTGACTGGCGGAATGGACGGGGGAGGGGGCGGGTACAGCTGGCTCTGCCTCTAGATAGGCAGAGCCAGCTGTCACTCACGCAGCTGGGCGGATCCCGTCATCTACGTCGGGATCTGCTCCGGCGTCTCAGTATACCGCGAGCTGTAGCTCGCGGTATACTGAGCTTAGGGTAATGGGAGGACGCTAGTTTGTGTCCTCCCGTTACCCTAAGGAGAACTATGGGGAAAAACACTGAACCCATAGTTCTCCTTTAAGGTGCCCACACACCTTGCGATAATCGTACGATAATTGCGGGAAATCCCGAGAACTGACGATGCTGCGCTAGGTTGAGGCTGAGCAGTGTCTCACCTAGAAAAGTGGAAGTCATGTGGCGACCCACTGAACATGGGGTTCGCGACCCACTTTTGGGTCACGACCCACCAGTTGAGAACCAAGGCTCCAGAGGGATTTCTAACAGCATTTATGAGCTGTTTTTTGCACTGCTTTGGGAGTGGTGGTGAGGCTGCGAGATCCACCGTCTTCTATTTTCTTCCCTTTGTGTACTTTTCTTGCTTTCCCTCTTTCCCCCTTTTTCTTTTTGGGACTTTATATTACTATATTTCTTGGATCACACCGACAATGATAATTATATATCTGGACTATGAGGAAACTGTCCTTTTTTCCCCTTAAGGATTTTTCCCTTAAGATGCTTTTACTCGTCATATTCCTCAGGATGTACATACGGACCATCTGATGTGCTCCTTGTTATAACTATCAGCCACCTGTACCTTATGTAATGTTTATATTACATGGTCCCTTTAATTAATTAATTTGTTTAATGTTTACATATTTTCTATTGGAAAATTTTATAAAAACTTTGAAATGAAATAAAAAATATTAAAACATCCCAAAAAACGTTTTCAAAGTCCCCGCCCCTGCATGCACACACCTACCTAACGCATATATACATTGGGTGCACGCATGTACTCGAAAACAACACTGGCTCCTTACGTTAGGCATCACCACGTACGCCAGAGTGAGAGCAATCATTCTAGGGCCATTTTTTGTTGAACGATAAAATAATGACCTGTAAAAGCTTTTCAAGCGTCGCATATGGACAATTTTGGGTACCGTAATTTTTCACCATTTCATGGGCGCACATAATTTTGAAGCTTGGCATGTTTGATATCTATTTACTTGGCACAACTTCATCTTTGATATTTTACCCAAAAAAATAGATAATAAATTATGTTTCTGTGCACTTAAATTAGCCTGTTGTTTTATTTACTTAAATTTGATATAGTTGCGCTAATATCATGCAACATAAAAAATTGCAACCACCAGCATTTTATTTTTTACAGGGTCTCTGCTTTCAGGAAATATATGATTCCTGAGGGGGGTTTAAGTAATCTTCAATTATGTTGTAATTTGTTAGGACATGAAGTGTCAATAAACAGATGTGTTCTTCACTTCAATATGGTGTGCTGGAGACATCTCTAACAAGTTTCATTATTGGCAGCACCATCCGTGGTCACTTCGAGCACCCACGCCGACAGGGATACCCGGTAAGGAGTGCAGCAGGATTCTGGAATATATATAAGTAATCTTCACAGGGCTACAATGTGCATTTTAACATTTATGCAAAAAACCCTGCAAAAATAGGAGTGAAAGGGTTAAAGAGGAAAACACTACCTCTGGTCATACCTGTCCTCAGTTTACTCATTGCTATATATGTCCCAAGAATGGCCATATAAGGTCAATTATGTCACAGCATCCCACCCCTTTGCCTACATGCAGCTGCAGGCACTGAATTCCCTGGCTGCAGCTGATTGGGTGGCAGCAGAAGAAGCTTCCTGCTGGGTTCATCCCTATTAGGAACCACACTTCAGAGAAGAGGCCTGATGAGGCAGTGTGACCTCCACATATAATTGTATGCCATGAAAACCTCTGTGTTTACTGTAAATTGCTGAAACAGCGAGATGTGTTTTCTTGCTGGCTAGCTGGGAAATGGTTTCATGTGTTTCTAACTATACAAGACTTTCCAGCATGTTACATTTAGATAAACAAACTATGTTTACAAAATATATTTCCTCATGTTTTATTCATTGTTCCCAATGTTTGATAACAGTTAAAATGTATCATGATTTCAGTGTGAAGACATAGTCATATTTTACAGCAAATATTCAAAAAACCAAGAAAGGGCGCAGAGAACACTGGCTAGTTAACAAAGTGGTGATGAAAAACTGAAGGTGGTGGCACTTACGTGTGATTGCCAGGATCTGAAGATGGGCGGCCGGTGTGGAGGATCGGGGCACTCGTGGTGTGGTGTCCGACTGTGATCGATGTATTGATCCAAGAGGTATATCCACGGGAGAGTGTAGATGAGAAGAGGGGACTTCGTCTGAAGTGCCGTGAGGGGTCTGTGCGGTGTGGGAGAGAAGCAGGGGGATCGCTGTGGTATCGGCAATAGGCAGCGGGCAAAGGACGGGGCTGTAACAGCCGCAGCTGTGTGTGTCTCAGCGAGTGGTAACTGTCAGATCTGCTGGGGACCATGTGCAGAAGCAGCTGGCAAAAGCCGCAAGTGAAATCCAGTGACGTGTTGAAGAGGGATCATGCGGACAGGAACCGGGTGTAGGATAGGGCTGTGGCAGCCGTGGCCGCGTGTGTCAACGAGCCGTCTCTGTCGGGTCTGCTAGGGACAGTCAGACGCCGGGGCTCGAGTTGATGGTGGAGTAGCAATCACACGTAAGTGCCACCACCTTCAGTTTTTCATCACCACTTTGTTAACTAGCCAGTGTTCTCTGCGCCCTTTCTTGGTTTTTTGAATATTTACAATCCACAGGTTCTCCTCCTGTTTCCCAGGGCTGCACACACGCCTCTAAGCTAATTTGTTGCCCATCCGAGAGCGCTGTTTATATGTTTTTTCTTTTTTTATATTTTACAGCAAAGCTATTTACCTTTAAAGGAGAACTATGAGGTGTGTGCTTTTCACTCACCTCATAGTTCTAGCCGACCTGCGACAATGAGACTATCACAGGTCGGCTCAGTAGATCGGGAGGTGAGCGAACACATACCGGCGTTCGCTCACTTCTCGATCCTGTCACGGCTCTCTGCCGTGACAGGGGAGGGGCTGGATTCCCCCCTCCCCGAACTCCGATCGGTCAGCGCTGACTGGCGGAACGGACGGGGAGGGGGCGGGTACAGCTGGCTCTGCCTCTAGATAGGCAGAGCCAGCTGTCAGTGATGCAGCTGGGCGGATCCAGACATAATTGTCGGGATCCGCTTCAGCTGCGGCGTCTCAGTATACAGCTCGTGGTATAGTGAGCCTAGGGTGACGGGAGGACGTTAGTTTGTGTCCTCCCGTTACCCTAAGGAGAACTATGGGGAAAAGCCTTAACCCCATAGATCTCCTTTAAAAGGAGAATTATGAGGCGAGTGCTTTTCATTCAGCCTCATAATCTGAGCCGACCTGTGACAATGAAACTGTCACAGGTCGGCTCAGTAGATCGGGAAGTGAGTGAACACATACCAGCGCTCGCTCACTTCTCGATCCTGTCACTGCAGAGAACCGTGGCAGGGGAGTGACTGGATTCTCCCCGCTCCGATCCTCCAGCGCTGACTGGCGGAAAAGACGGGGGACGGGGCGGGTACAGCTGGCTCTGCCTCTAGATAGGCAGAGCCAGCTGTCACTCACGCAGCTGGGCGGATCCAGACATAATTGTCGGGATCAGTTTCAGCTGCGGCGTCTCAGTATACTGAGCTTTGGGTAACGAGAGGACGCTAGTTTGTGTCCTCCCGTTACCCTTAGGAGAACTATGGGAAAAAGCCCTAACCCCATAGTTCTCCTTTAAAGAAGAACTTCAGGCATATGAAATGTTAACTATATCAATGGAGCTCCCCGCACTGCAAAGGGTTATTGCTCATTTTGTGTAGGTAGCTAAAATAACAAAGATTTGCTCACCCGAATCTCTGACCCAGATGGCTGCTAGACCGGTCCCTGCAGCCTCTCTCCCCTCTGCTCTGGTGATGGAATGTCACTCGGCATCCTCATGTCCTTAGACCACTGGAGCAGGGGGGGGGTAGAGGCTGCAGGGACCTACACTGTACATCCTGAGACAAGAAACACTTCCCTGGTTGAGGACATATTCAATGTAGCTATTGGATAACTGAAGATCCATATTAATTGAGTCTATTGAGTTTCATTACCAGTAGGGCCACATCTGCAGGGTCTCTTTAAGGTAGGAATACACACAAGCATTGATACATGCTGTGTTGGGTATCACTGATCATTTTATTTAAAATGGATTTATACATAATAATACCCCATTATTCTGACATTTACACCCCAGTAAACCCATACATGGTTAATATATAATGATCCATCGTGTACTAATTGACACCCACAGAATCTCAGAGTCATGTGACCAGATGCTCAAGCACAGTTTGAAGACATTTAACCTGTTCCCACCAACTTTGGAGCGCTCTCATTTCTCATTTTGCATTCTCCTAAATAGGGATGATCTCAGGCTTGGATTGAACCCGAGCTCATTTGAACCGGTCAGTGCTGGTCCAATCAGATGTGATCAAGTAATTCCCCGCCCTGCAGGTTTTTGTAAACAAAGAAACAGAGTGCTGGTGACATAATTGGCCACAATGACCTAATAGGGCCATGTGGCCCTATAAGGCCAATGATGTCACCAGCACTCTGTCCCTTTGTTACATAAGGCTGCAGAGCGGGGATTAAACTGGCACCGACAGCTTCCTTCCGCATTCAATGAGCTTGGGTTCCTGTTCCTGTTCTCATTCCTATTCCTGAACCTATTCCTAAATATAAAACAAATTAAAGTACGTATACTGTATCTGGGTCAGGATATCAGGACTAAAGCCAACCCATCAGCATGACAGCCAGGCAACTAGCATTGCCAGAAGGAAGGGTAAGTAATGGTACTCAACATAATTCTCTCATCATATGTTTCCTGTTACATGTTTAAAGCTGAACTCCAGGTATGCATTATTTTGCATACTTATATTGGTCCAGCTTGGCTCAATGTAAGTATACAAATGTCATACCTGACCTGCTGCTGGGGATCGTGTAAAGCACTATGTAGTCACTACACTCCTAGCTGCAATCTTCCAGGTCCTGTAAGCCTAAGGTGCCATGGTTAGCAGCTTCCCGCCTGTTTTGGAAACACAAGGGGTCACTCACACGGCACAGAGGCCATTTAAAGAACACCTTATTCATTAATAAAAATATTAGGTGCTCACTGAATGGCCACTGTGCTCAGCAAGTGACCTCCTGTGTTTTCATAGCAGAGGGGAAGTCGCTCAGCACAGTGGCATACAGGGCCTAGAAGATTGTGGCAAGCACTGTAGTAGCTCTGGTACTACCGGGCTTTACAGGATCCCCAGTGTGCTGCCAGGTATAAAATATGTATACTTATATTGGGATAAGCTGGAATTCAGCTTTATTCACTTGTTAGCATTGACCTTATTTGCAGCTAGTGGTGCCCCTTGGCGGGTAAAAATGAGGCTTATCACCAGAGTTATCCATAGGAAAAAGATCAGAAGGATGGTATGTTTTCTCAGGAAAAGTAGCAGCACCCTGAAATTAAAGTGCTGCTAATGAGATGACTCCTATTGATAGCAAAGAGATTGAATCACCTTCACAGCCTTAGGCTTAGGTGGCTTACATTTTGAGTACCTATCCAAAGCTCTAGTATCAGCTTTGGGTGGCACTCTATTTGGGTAGTCAGGACAGGAAGTGATGAGAAATCTCTCCAACTGGGACATAGAAGAGACAGACAGTATTAGAATGTCTGACAATGTTTAAATTGCTGTCTGTACCCTCCTTTCCCGATGACAACGGCTCTCCCTCCCCTATTTCCAGTACGGGCATCACAGGGGCAGCAAGTGAAGAAAAATCTCTCTAATGGGGTTACAGACAATAATAATACTATTGGCAGCAATTTTAATGCTTGTCAACTCTTCTAAGCGCTAAAAAAAAAAATGACTTGGCTGGAGTAATCTCCGATCATGTGAAAAGCAAATTCCTGTTTAATTCACTTGCACACACAATTGAATATTCAAAGTGAATGAAGCTACCCCCCTCCCCTCTGCTCCTCCCTCTATACAGTCTATCCAAGTTCATTCGGGGGCCGGTCAACACATGACACCCGATGCCACAACATAGAAAAAACAAAACAAATGCGTGCTGTATTTTTTTTACAGCGCAATGCACACCATGCCAACGTTGGTTTGCCATTCAAAATATGTGCTCTCTTTAGAAAAATCAGTGTTTTGAGAATGTTTTGTATTTCCCAGTATGGAATGTTTATTTGTGATACAACATAAGTTTATATATACAATAACATTCCATCATAGGGCCCTATTTGCACCTGCGAATGGGGCCTTTGCATCGGTCTCACGACTTCCCCTGTGAGACTCATGCGATCTGTTGCAGACAGGTGGCTCTGTATAATCCAGTGACACCTGCAACCACCCACAAGAGTTTGCAAGTAAGCTCATAGGCTGCGTTTATCGGTGTACAACTGCAGACCGTCTGTGTCCAGGGGCGATCGTCCGCAGATCTGCATGGAGTATGCATGTTCTCCCTGTGCTTTCCCCAAAGACATGCTGGAGGTTAATTGGCCCTGTATGTGTGTACAACAGGGACCTTAGAAGGTAAGCTCCTTGGGGGCAGGGACTAATGTGCAGTATGTAAAGCGCTGCATAATTCATCGGCGCTATATATATATATATATATATATATATATATATATATATAATAAATAAGTGTCATGGAGGAATGATGAGACTCCTGGACCCCATTCACCCAGTCACTGCACACTGTCCAGGGAGTATCTACCTAGGTGCACTGCTGCAAAGTAACATCAGTAAATAGAGCCAATCACAAGTCTTCAACAGAAATCCAAACAGGAGGCGCCTATTCTGCCCAATGTTTCCATGGATTCAAGTCCATCTTTGTAAAGAGCACATATACTGTATATAAATAGAAGAGATGATATAAAACATACAAAATTGGATGTGCTTTTTTAGCCAAATTGAGTTTTCCTTAAAAAAATTTAAATCAATTGAGTAAAAAAATGCTATTTTAAATATTTGTATGATATTTCCTGATGTGGCCCTAAAAGTTTCCATCAATGAAAGATACATCCATCTATAAAATCCGTCACATCAGATGACCCGAGTAGGGAGACTCCTCTCCTCCACCCAGGGAGGTGACTGGGACTGTCCTCCTCGCGTGCGATCCTCCAGCACAAACTCGTCCCAACAAGAGATCACGTGACCGAGCCCTCCGGGACCCCAGTGCTCAGCCACCGCCCCCAGTCCAGGAGGAGCAGTCACGTCACTCCCGAGCTCACACAGCAGCAGCAGCGGAGTGTGAATAGTGAATGGTGCGCTTGTTGGGATCCCCGGACACATGTGAGTCTCAGGGCGGCATCTTGTCCTATGAATTAATGTGCAGCTGACTGTGATGGCTAATGATTAGACTCATCTGATGATTAGATTAAGAGGGGAGTCATTAATTTCACATCACGTGTCTTTATTTCTCCAGCACTATGAATAAATCTTGCATCTTTTGTCTTGCTCCTCTATCAGAGTGGATGGGGTGATCTGACCCTGTTTTAGGTGCCAGTCTTATATGTTATTTTACCCCCCCGGACAGCGGGTCCTGCCTGCTGCTCATTGTCGGGAAGCTAATCCGAGCACATCTTGTCGGGACTTATTTTGGCAGCTCGGGTTGTGTGGCGTGCGGATAGAGTTTTATGACATCCTGAGGCTCCGGATTCAGCTGTTTCTCATAATGCCTCCCACACAAGGAAAGAATTTCTCTTCTCCCCATCTTGCCGGAAGACTTATTTTATAAATATAACAAGGACGGCGATGTAGTGAGCTTTGATGTGGAATCATAATGCATGAGATGCTGACTTGTATTGGTGATCACCAAGGATTGAACGATCCAGCATTGCCGCAGACTGTATCTTGTCATCACTGATGGTTTCATGGTATTATTATCCGGCCAAGGTTTACATCTG